ATTTAAATGCCTGAAAATATGTCAAAATAATTAGGGCTTTCCTTTAAATAAATAAATACCATTAAACACACTTATTATTGTATTTGAAATAGCCAAAAAGGCATTCTATATTATCCTGATTGCAAATGCTATAACCAGGGTGTTAACAGTTTAGTTCTATTTCTTATATTTATATTTAAGGGAAAACTTTTGTTACTTCTTGGCATTCTTAAACACCATTAAGATCTACATAACTTTATTTACAAGCACATATTTTTTCTTTTTTTGAAAATGATCTAAAACTTTACTCGTAACAAGTAAGACAGTTATTGATTGTTGGTCCATCACAGGTTAGGCAAGAATAATGACATGTAGGCATGAAAATTTCAATTTCTGGTTTACATAATCGTTTAAACTATAGATTACTTACATTTCCTCGAAAATAATTTTAAGTAAAATCATCACCTCCAAAATATGTAATAAACGAAGTTCCTGAGAAATGATATATTTTTTTATTCCAATTAAATTAGCGAATTTAATCAATAGAAGGGAAAAAGATAGAAAATATTGGTTATCCATCATTATTTAATGTTCCTATTTCATATTAAAAATAATGCCATTAGATTAACAACCCAGAATACTCGTCTCCAAATTATTTTATTTCATCATCTTCTTTTGTCTTGTATCTCTGATATATAGGAAACTAATATGAATAAGTTGTTAACTTAAAGCCATTCTAGGCAGGTATATTACTTTAATAATATTATAATAATAAATCTCTATCACCTACTTGGAAATCGTTATAATATTTGCTATTCACAGTTATTCTAAAAACAGTAGACTCTAAAAAATCTTAATTTGATTATTTTAAAATAATCCAGCCTTTAAAAACATATCTAGGCACTTGAAGTCTTGAAGAAATAAAATTTTGATACTCATTACCATTGAATTCTTAATTCTATTCAATAAGCATCTCACTACTGTCATAACAATAAATTTGGCTAAAAAAATATTATGAACAAGATTCTAAATCTAAGAATACATTATCCTGTTTAGCTGAAAAATCACTGGTTAGAAGTCCCTAAAATATATTTAACATTATCAAATTTTCATCCTAATTTTTATAAAAGTAAAAATTTCCCACAATATGTTTTATATATTATTTATATTCAGGTAGATCATTAACAACCTAAATAGATAAAGCTTCTTTAGAATTGTAAAATCCAATTTGGGCTTATCTTACAAAATTGTCAAAATAACAATAGAACATTATCCATTAGCCTTCGTATAACAAATTATCAAATTAAAATGATAAGGTATTTTTTGAAGTTTTAAAAGAGTAAAACACTTTATGAGTAATTTTTTATTATATTGAATCAATTTCAGAAGAGACAACTATCCAATTAGATTTCTCAACGTTTTCCTCTATTGAATAAATAAATTGTCCTCCTTTTATATGATTTTATTGGTATTATGTATTATTTGGCAATAACTTATCCCCTATAAAATAATAAAACATCAAAAATACATCTCGATTATTTGTAAGTAAATGGCTAATAATTCATCCAAACTCCAAATCCTTGATTTATCTAACCTTAGACAAATTCGTTAGGCAGGGTTTAATTATTAGAATATTGATCATTTTACAACATTAAAATAGGTCGAGAAGATGAAAATTCACAAAGATTATGTACTTATCTATATCAAATGTATATATATTTACTTAAATTACAAGATTAACAACAAAAGGTCATATATGTTGAAAATCATTAAGTCTGCTAAATTTTATTTAATGAAAATAATCGTGATTAATTTAAGAATAAATAAGAATTTTTAAAAATACTGAAAAATAGATTCTTAAATACTTATTTTTATTGAATTTTCGGAATTTCTCCTAATTTTGGTTATTTTCTTTTCACTTGACAAAGCATTGTTATAATTATGTGAATAACAAATTGTGATAATTTCAATTGAAAAATTACTTTTTTGATAGGACAATTTAATTTAAAATATTTGATATCCTTAACTCTATTTAAATATTCAACTGGAATGATAGTAAATAAATTCGTTTAATTCAGGAAATTGTAAATGCTATAAAATAGTCATTATTGTGCATAAAAAAAGAAATATAATTGATTCTTAATAATTTAAGACTAATATTAATTATCAATTGATATTTGAATCTTCCATCTATTAGAAATTTAATTCAAAACATGAATTAATTACTTCCAACATTATTTATTTAACTTAATATAATTATATAATTAACTTGTAAAATAAATTAAAAACAATAAAGTCATTTTTAATTTTTTTAATTGATAAAAAAAGAGGTTTTGATTAAGTTAAAATATTCATAATTATTGAATTTCTTCATTTTAAGAAATCAATTTCAGACATGAAACAAAGAAACCATGTTCAAAATGAATAAAATTAAATTAATAAGGGTTGCTCAAATAAAGAAGTCATAAATGGCCTAGTTAAGCATTAAAAAAATCCTGAAAAGCTTTTTCACAGCCAATTTTCATATTAATTTGAGAATCTTTTATCAATACTAATATCTTTATTTAAAATAACTAACCTATTTTAACTTCAGATTGCTTGATTCGAAAAGCCTAATTAGTCTATTCCTTAATTAGATATACTTTTGTGATTATCGATCTTCTTTGTCGGCATGTCATAACCTTTTATTATAATTTCATATAGTGCAGAATATATTGATCCAATAACATTTTCCACTTGAAGAGAAATTAACATTTATTATATTTATTTTTATTCAAAATTTATATTTATGTTTTTGATTTGAAATTTTGTTTTAAAATGAGATTAAATTATTTGAGAAGATGAAACATTCCTTTATTAATATAGTAGGAATAATAAACAAAGAACTTGATTTTAAAATGAAATTTTTATTTTTATTAATTTATTTATGACGGACTTTCATTGTTTTTCAAATAAAATGGAGGATGTTTAAATTCTAATGATATTTCAAAGAAATTTGCTATTTTTTTTGACAAAAAAAAGTTGCTTACAAAAAATAAAACTATCTACAATATTTCATGTATTCTAAAAAATATCGAATGATAGCATATTGAATAATAATAATTGTGTATAATAATTTATAAAATTACGTTTGATATATTTTCATTAATATATCAGATAATAAAACATTAATTAATATTTTTTTTTTAATTTCTAAATGAAAAAGTTCTTTATGAATATTTTGTATTGAATATGGTTTATATTTTAAATATAGAAAATAATTAAGAATTTATATTAAATTAGATGGTTATCTAATTGTTTTCTAGAGAAAATAACAATTATATGAAATTATTATTTTTTTAAAGTGAGTGTTTGAAATATCTATATATTAAAAAAGATTTATACAAAATTTCTATTTTCAATTAATTTTTAATAAATATCATCAAAACAATTATAGATGTATTTTGTTCAATTCTGTTTCATAAAATATAATTGTTATTTAATTCATTATTATTATTTTATAAATCATATACCAAAATTGTTTTTCTTTTTTTTACTTTATAAATTTATTTCTAATTTATATTAATTCCCCTCAAACATTTTCAATGTCAACTGACTAAAACTCTCTAGCTTTTCTTACAAACTATTTGAACTTTAATCCAATTTTTTATGACAAAATTAATAAGATGAGTTAATTACATTTGATTAAATTTTCATTCATTTAATGTTATAAATAATTGAATTATCATAAAAATTATTATAATTCCTATATATCATTTTAGAACATATAATTCTTATTTTTCTAAAATTTTTTATACTTTTGGATATACAAAATCACAAAGGCTTAAAGGATGGCTGAACTTAATTTCTTTAATGCTGCAATTAATTTAATAGTTGAGTTTTAGGTTTGTTCTGCAATCCTATTTAGCTAGGTGATTTTTCAATTATCTCTAACCTTTCCCAATAGGATTTAATTGAGGAAAAAAAGGAAAGATATGAATTCTTTCCAAATTGAGAATTCCTAATGAAATGATTCGTTATCTAAGATAAAGAAATAATTCCTCAACCATACTGTTTATTGCATTAGGATAGTAATCTTAGCAGAAAACCCTTAATTAATTTTGGATTAATGTTGCCTTTAAAGAATTAAAACATTTAAAGATCTGACCCGATTGCCCTGAAAATACTTATTCTCTGTTTAACTTAAGGCCTGTCAATTTTTAAATGAAAATAATTTTAGCTCCATACCTCTAAATTATAATGCTCATTACCAATTCCAGATTCATCTATATAATCGGTTATGTAGATTCAATATGTGATATAAAAAATAATGTATAAAGGAATTGCTTGCTTTTATTCTATTTTTTGATTGCTTTAAAGTTGAGCTTAGATGTATTCTTGTAAGTATATCCAGGCCCTTTAATTAAAGATCTAAAATGTGAAAGTGAGAAATTATCAGTATTTAAATTTCAGTTCTTAAAAAATCATTATAGATATTTTTTAAAGGATAAAGATTTTCATGATTTTAGTAGTTCATGTATGTAAATTTTACTCTTGAATCATATATAAACAACCTTAGTCGGAATGACTCGACTTTAAGCCATCTTAAGTCTGGTGCAATTTTTATTTGACATTAAAAATAATATAATTTATTTTATTATTATTGTATCTTAATTGGTTTTTGAAAAAGCTGAGTATTGTTTTCTGATACGTTTTCATTTTAATCATTTTGTTATATTGATTCCAATAGACTTTAACATAATTGTTAAACGTATTTGAATACTAATGATAGCTGTAGTTTATACACGATTTTAAAATTGTCTTAATGAAGAATAAATTTATTAATATCTTCGGTAATCCAAAAATTTTTTGTTCATAAAAATAATCTTTCAACAAAATTTTTTGTATAAATTATTCACCATTTATTATGATAAAATATAGAAATTTGTAAAATATTTTTATAATTATAAATATGTAGAAAGTACAATTCTAAGATCAACTGTGATCATCTTCGATTCACATCTCTTCAAGTTTTCACAAATATGTGGAGGTAAAAATAACCTGTCCAAAAAGTATATCTTCACTTTTACAAATGGGGGGTATTGCATTTTGTGGAGACATATTTTCAGTGTCCAAAAAGTAAAATGTAATTTTTTCCCTAAGATTTTTTTTAAAGTGCCTGTATTATAAGATATTTTATCGATTTTGCAGTATATAACTTCTAATTTGAGTAATAAAATTCTATATTAAAAATATAACAAGAAAATTTACATTTTTAGAAGAAGGAAGCTCTATCTGATATCTTTGCTTAAGTTAAAGATGTGGATAAACAAATATTTGGTGTCATATTAGAAATATTTCCAAAGGAAAAACTTTAAGACTGTATTGGATAACTTATGGATGATGGAAATCAAAAAGATTTAGAATAATCTATCTTACAACAAAGAAAGAATTTAAACCAAGCCCAAAATGAAAAGATGGTGTATAATTTTAGTGAGAAAATACAACAAATTATTTATGTTTTAAGAAATAAAAAAATCATAACTTTAATAAGAAAGACTATTCAACCGAAGGAGATTAAAAATCAATACAAATTTTGATTAAAAGAATCAGAGATAATGAAAAGATCATCGAATTTTTATAATTTTAAATCATGCCTAAAAAATGAGTTTTTGATAGTTTATAATTAAATTTTAATTTAAAAATTTAAAATCAATCATTTTAAACAAAAATTTTGTTGCTCATTTCAAATAAAAAAAACTCATATAATTATTTCTTTAGTAATAGTTATATCAATTAGATTAAAATGAAAAATTAAAAATCTAATAATTTTAATTACTGGTTGTTATCAAGTTTCTACCTTTGCCCCATACATCCAAAAGCAACTATGAGCAATCTTTAAGGTAGCTTAATTATCAACATTAAATATTTCTACTCAATATCACCTTTTGCAAATTGAAATAATTTAGAATTCATCAACACGTCAAATTTACAGTTGACTTTGCATATTAAGAACTTACCTAAATTTCTGGACAACTAAACAAATGAATTTGTTTATATACATATCTAACTTAAAATTGATCCTATGATATACTTTTTAATTTTTGCATCAAAAAAATATACACCTTAGTCCCCTTTAAATTACATTAAAATTAATGAATAATTCAAAAAAAATATAGGGCTAAACGAAGAAGATCCAATTACTCTTTTTTAAAGAAAAAAAAATAAGAAAATAATGACTTATTACAGAAAATATTTATTAAACAATTAAAGAATAATAAGTTTCACTACAACTATTTATGCATAGTTAAAAATGTAAATTGTGATCAACACATATATAATTTACATTATTTTATATTATATTTATTAAAGAATCAACCTGTGCAAATGTTGAATTGAATTCTCAATAATATATTTTACTTCAATAATAATCAATTCCAAATCTACACAAATTCTCAACTTCTATTTTATAAGAATGCAGAAGGCACTTTAATAGATTTGTAGTATACAACTTAAAGTTTGAGTAATAGAAATTCAATATTAAAAATCAAAATTAATTAATTGTACTTTGATATGCATAAATCACAAGTGTCAATGTTTAAGAAATCTTTGTGTTAATTTCCTGACCAAGGAGAGGATATCAAAATCATAAAATTTTGACTATTAAATTTCAAGAAATGTTAGGAAGAAATAAACAGAATTTAAGCTTGATGAAACATCTTGCTGTTCAAACTGATAGAAATTTAAGAAAATTTGGGAAGAATTATCACAATGCATTAATTTAATATAGATACGAAATAACAGTAAAACAAATCATATCTCTCTCATTAATGAGAATACCTTGAAAAAAATTTTATTTGAATAAGTTGGAAAAGATAAGGAATTCTTATGACTAAAATTAAGTGATTTAATGGGAAGAAAAAGAAAGAAATGAATTAGAAATATTCTTAACTTAAATACTATATTATATTACTATTTATCTTATTAAGAAGAAGGATGTGAAGTTTATTAAATGAAAGAGGACATTTTTGAAGTTTTAAGTTGCATCCAAGATAATCATGAATCAATTTATATGAAGATTCAAAAATTACTTATTTGAATTCCTTTCGAATACAACATCAATACTTTTATGAATCTATAATCAATAAGAAAGTTATACAAGTGAAATAAGAAAGAAAATCACAATTTTCTTGAGAAATATTTAGGATCATAAATTGAAAAAAGATGACTATTCTCCAAAGACTTACAAAATTGTAATATAAAATCTAATATAGAGTACAATGAACAAAAAGAGGATTATAGATTTTATAAAGTGTTTAGTTCTCCTCATAAGCATAAATGTGAAATTTATTCATTGTTGATCACATTGATTATTCGGTAGAAGGTTGATATTAGGAACCAATCCTTTGGGAATATCAAGGTAAAAAATTTCTTGGCTTGAAGGTAATTTTGTTCAATGCAAATTGAAGGAATCAGAATCCGGCAATTTAGACAAAATTGGAGTCATTTTAAAAGGGGTTTAGTTTTTCTATTGAAAATGGAAGAACTTAAAAATTTTATGATTTGAGTAATGGGTGATGGAACTAAATTATTCTCTGATATGATAAGTCTATCAGAATATGGGATGTTAACATAGGATAAGAATTTATAAGGCATTCATTTTTTCTGATATTTAAGCTATTTATAAAATTATTCTACTTATAAATGGTGCTATATTATTATAAATAATCATTAATGGCTTTTTTCGGTGAAAATGTAAAATAAATTTTTGCATAAAGAGCATGTTTATTTTCAAACTAAATAGAATTTTAATAAATTGGAAAGTTGATAATTATTTAGAATAGTATAAATACCAAAAATCAATTATTTCCTTATTTTTTATGATATAATCCTTCATTTTCATAACTTTTTAATTTATACAATTACTCATAATGATTACAGAATTTTTTTTCATTTTATTTTAATTTTTTCAGTTTCTAGATATCAATGAATAAGAGTAAATAAGCGGTATTTGTTTTAAATCATCAAAGATTTTAGGTATGGTTTACTTAATTTTTTATAAATATCATTTAAATCAGAAATTGAGATGAAAAATTAAATATACGATTAATTACAACTTTTTGCTTTTTTGTTCATATTTACTTAAAATAGGCATTATTTCTTATTGTTTTAAATATTAGAAAAAAAGATAAAGAAATTTAAGGATTAAAAACCTCTAGTTGATCCTAAATCATTTTAAAGTGTAAAAATAAACATTTTTTGATTTAATAATTTAACCAAATTTTTATCTGAGACAATCTTTTAAAGTCCTTTTATTATTTACTAATAGATCTAATAAGTATTTCAATATCAAAAAGACTTATTTTAATAATAATTTAAAAGCAACCTCCTTTCAAAAAGTACTTTTTAAATAAAAATTAACAGAATCATTATTAGATCCAGTACAATATAGACAGAAAGTAAATATTCTGATAACTATTCTCAAAATATCAAAATAATCAGATTTCAAAATTTAAGAGAAAAAAGAATTGGATCAGAACTAAAAATAAACTAGAAATCTACTGACACTCACAATACATATAGATATAGATATTGAAATGATTTTTATTTATTTTATGGATTTTTCCTTGATAATAATTATCATCAACTTCCTTTTAGTTTTAAACAGATAGATATTATATATGATTATATAATAGATTTAATATATATTTTATTTGATAATTATGGTTTTTTGATTTATATCTTATCATTTCTAACTTTACTATTCCTTCTTGATACTGGTTACAGTGCGATTGTATTAAAATTATTAACAAATTGCATTATTTTAGAAAATTATTATGAGCACTTTCATTTTGCATTTTATAACCCCTTATTTAATTCTTCCTTTAAGTCTTCTTTGGTTAATTTTTATTATTTTTTCGCTTTTGCTTTCAAATCTTCTAATTTAACTATGATAATTTTTTCCTTATTTTCAAAACGAAAGTTCATATTTTTATGATTTTCCCAAAAACATTTACACTCTCAAATTGTGCATTTTCCATCTTTCATAGCCAAACAATACTTTCTATCATTCGATTCTGGAATTCCACATGGATAATGACAAGCTGAATTGCATGGTATACAATTAGTTGCATATTCAATTCTAACAATATCTTTTTTTTGTTAATGAAATGTGAAGTCATTTGTTTCAAATTATTCATTTAAAAGCTTATCTATCATTTGAGTTATATCTTCTTTTTTTCAGCCTATAAATGAAGCTGATATTGTAAATCTGGCCTT